ACCGGATGTTCCAACTCCTAGAAGCTGCTTAAGTCCATATATGGATCTATTAAGTTTACATACCATGTGTTCTTGACCAACAGCAATGAAGCCTTTACAAACCTTGTGATTCGGTCAATACTGATATGGCCAAGACGGTAATGCCACAGGCACGTGGGACTAACGGTATCACGAGTTCTCTTGTGAATGTCAACCGGCATAGTTCCCCGTATGTGATGAATTTGTGTTTCTTTTAATAGTAATCGTATTACTAAAGAAAACAGAATATCCATCAGCACACAATTTTGAGACAGAAATCAAATTTCTTCTTAAATTCTGTACATAAAGACAATCTTTAAGTACAAGTGATCATTCTCTAAAAAACAATTCTACGATTCCGATGGCCATAGCTACAACGCTTGCAGAAGTCACCTCTCCCTCACTCAGTCTTCTACTTATTCTGAAACCCTGCAATGTGTTACATGCATGAGTCGAAACCCCGGAGTCAATACACCAGGAAGCAGAAGTAACCAAGAAATTGGTTTCTATGACACAGGATTCGGGATTACCTTTCTTGGATTTCAGGTAGGCAAGACAGTTCCTTCTCCAGTGGTCGGTCTGGTGACAATGGTGACAGGCATCGGATGCCTTGTCCTTCTTCTGTCTCTTGGATTTGCTGCCCTTTTTCTGGGGCCTCTTCTTAGACCTCCTCTTCTTGCCACGCTTGCTTCCATAAGCATGGCGACGGGCTCATCCTTACGAATCAGTTCCTCAGCTCGTTGCAACATATTGTTGAGCTCTTGTAAGCTGACATTCAGCTTATTCATGTTATAATTCATGACAAACTGATTGTAGGATGGAGGTAAAGAATTCAGAATGGAGCCCGGACCCTAGGGCTTCCAACTCGTTTATGTATTCCATCATTTGAGCGGTCATGAACTGCTTCAAGACCTTCTGTCGAGTAGAACGATTCTGCTCTTCGTACATAGTTTTCAGACTGTCCAATATGTCCTTGGCCAGTTCGATCTAATCGAACTGCCTCTGTATTGGATTGTCCAGAGATCTATGATATAGCAGCGGGCCAGGGAGTTCTTTTCCTCCCACTCAAGGTAGTCCCTTCTACGGGCCTCAGAAGCCCGGACGCTCCGAGGTGGGGTTTTTGGCAACTTTATCCAATTTTTCAGAAATCAGTACCAGCATGAGGTTACAGTACCAGTCAACATAGATAAGGCTTTTAATCTATGTCCCATTTCTATTTGTTCACCGGGATTTCCCTCCTATCTTAGTGATGGAGACCGCGACAATTATGTCTCTTGGAAATGTGGGAAACCACATAGGGTGCATCGAACCAACTGTTTCTACTGCATAACCCCACCACCTTTCTATGAAGGATCATATCCACTCATCACATGAGCTTTCCCTTTGGCCTTTGTCAAACAAGGTTCATAGCCATTTACAGGTAAACCTTTATGTCCAGTGAGTGCTCACCCATCATATTCGACCACGCCAAGGTACCGTGAGAGAGTTCACATTTTTTGGTGAAGCCCCTCCCACATCGGTCTATGACGTCCCTATCATCATATGAAACAATCCAACAGATCCAGTACCAAATCAGTTGGGCCGAATTAATACTTGCAATTAAACATCAATCCCTAACCCAAAAGTGGGAGAAATCAGGACTAAAATCAGCCCCCATCGAACCCTAGATTCGGTCCAATCGATTTGGTCCAAATCTGGTTTGAATTGGTCTGGGTTTGATTTTTAATTCAAGATTAATGATCTGAAATTAAATACTGATAAAGAAAAACATAAATCAGTCAAGTAGGGTTGTTCGCACACTCCATTCTGCAAAACAGAGGTTAGAACACAGTTCGTAGTTTCTCAAACTGCAAATCGTAGATGGCGATTTTCATATTTGCGAATTCTCCTTCCAGTGCCGCCAACTTCGATCCAAAAATAATACAGAAATAGAAAAACCTTATTTTCTATTAATTATTACATCAGATCGAATCCTATACATTCAGTCTAAAAATTAAAAAAAAAATATTTACAAACCAAATGTAAAGAATAAACAAGAATCTGCAAATCGCAGATATCCACGTGCCAAGAATAAAAGATTTCGATCTCCATTGTACGAACAGCCCATAAATCAAGAAAATTATAAAGAACCATTCCATATAAAATTCATATTTATGTAAAATTTAATTCCAGATCATTCGCCCATAATTATGGGAACAATTTCCCAAAAGCAAAATCTGCGCAAATAGGGTAGAACGCCTTCTGCCCATTTGCGCAAGTTCAGATCTGAACAATTTTGATTCAAGATTTRAACCATGGCTCTGATACCACTGAAGGAATGGAAAGATCCATCATATGGCCGCCCGGATAAAGCAGAATAGAATGGGCAAATTTCAAAAAATTTCTTTCCTTCCTACAATTGGGAAT